CACCCGATATATACACCCCGCACACACCATATAAACACCGATAATATACACCCCGCACACACAATATATAACACCCCGCACACCCCATAAACACCTCGTAACACCGCACTATATACACCCCCACACACAATATATACACCCTGTAACACACACAATATATACACCCACAAACACACCCCATATACACCCGCACACAATATATACACCCCGCACAAACAATATATACACCCAATGCACACCCGTATAAGCACGATATATACACCCCTGCACACCCGTATATACACCCGATATATACACCCTGCACACCCGATATATACACGCATATAATATACACCCTGCACACACCCCGTATACACGATATATACACCCTGTACACCCGTATACACGATATATTACACACCCGTATACACGATATATACACCCTGTAAGCACATTCTATACACATTGCACTCAGTGTTGTCACCTGGGCTCGGGGCTGTCAGGCTCGGCTCACCATAGAGTGGCGCACAGCGGACGGAGCGGCTCCTGCAGATCACCATAGAGAATACGGTGGTGGGAGGAGCCGTCCGCTCTGTGCTGAATGGAAAGGGACAACGGCCCCCACTGGTGGCTCCGCGCTATGGCAGCTCAGTCTAGGCTGTGAATGGCGCTGCCACCTATCGGCCGGTGGCGGCGCTGCAGCTTCCAGCGATTATCCCTCAATGTAACTCTCCATAGGAATGTCTTCCAATGACTGCAACAGAGGGAGGGGGAGGGGAAAGGGAATGGGGGAGGGGAGGGGTAGGAGAAGGGGAATGGGGGAAAAAGGGGGAGGGGTAAGGGGAGGGGGGAAGGGGAGGGAAGGGGGAGGGGAAGAGGAATTAGAGACCCTGTCAGGTGTTTATTGCCATCTGTGTCCCCATTAGGAAGATCCCCTCCCTCCCTCTCTCTATTTTTCCTGGTGACTGTCAGTGAAAGAAATTTCCAATTTTGGGTTGTCCCCAGAGCAGGATTAGAGGGGAAGTCACCCAATGGGGACACTGGTTCTGGTGAAACCTTCACTTCCTTCACTTTATTGGAATTGCATCTCACTTCCTGTTGTGGCTATGGGACAGGAAGTGAAGGGAAATTTTCATCCATAGGACCCAATGGCAAAAGAAATGTGTTGTCCCCAGAGCAGGAATAGGGGGGAAATCTTCCAGTGGGGGACGCTGGTTCTGGTGACACTCAGATTTCCTCAGTTTGGTGGAATTTCCTCACTTCCTGTTTTGAATGTTAGGGGAATTCTCCCCAATGGGGACACTAGTTTCCGGGGAAACCCCAGAAATTAACTCACTTAAGGAAGGAATTTTCTTTCACCTCCTCTTGTTCATGGGACAGGAAGTAAAGTGTTGAGAAATCTGTGCAATGGGGACACTAGTTCTAGCAACACCTTGGAATTCCCTCACTTTGTGGGGGGGGGGGGGGTCCTCACTTCCTACTTTGGCTGTTGGACAGAAAGTGAAGTGAAATGTTTCCAATGGGGACACAAGCTCGTGTGACATCTTGGCATTCCCTTACTTTGGTGGAATTTCCTCACTTCCTGTTTTGGCTATGGGACAGGAAGTGAAGGGAATTCTCCCCCCCCATGGGGACACTAGGCCAGGTGACACCTTGGAATTCCCTCATTTTGGAGGGGAATTCCTGTTGGGTTTATGGGACAGGAAGTGAAGGGAATTCTCCCCCCATGGGGACACTAGTTCTGGTGACATCTTGGAATTCCTTCGTTTTGGAGGGAATTCCTCTAACTTACTGCCGGTGTGTGAGAGATACCCTTGGGGGGGGGGGGAGGGGGGAGGGACCCAATGATGCCGGTATATTCTACTTCTAGAGTTTGGGGGGGGGGGGGGGGTTTATTCCGGTTCTTATTGGAATTTTCACCCTCATTTCCTTGTCCCAGTGACACCATGCTTTATATGGTGTCACCGGGACAGGAAGTGAGTGGAGAATTCCGGAAGGAGAGCACGTCATGGCAGACTGTTCCGTTCTCCCCAGAGGCGGGGAGAGGAAGGGAAGAGGACAGGAATTGGAGGCCCTGTCAGGTGTTTATTGCCTCCCCGGTAGGAAGATTCCCCCCCCCCCTCGATTTGCCCTGGTGACCGTCAGTGAAAAATTCCCAAATTTTGGGTTGTCACCAGAACAGGATTAGAGGGGAAGTCTCTCCAATGGGGACACTGGTTCTGGTGAAACCCAAGAATGCCCTCTTTTAAAAGGGATTTCCTCTCACTTCCTGGTTTATGGGACAGGAAGTGTAATGAAATCTCTCCAATGGGGACACTAGTTCTGGTGACAACCAGGGATCCCCTCACTTTGATGGAATTGGCTATGGGACAGGAAGTGAGAGGGAATTCTCCCCATAGGGGACACTAGTTCTGGTGAAACCCCAGAATTCCCTCTTTAAAAAGGGATTTCCTCTTACTTCCTGTTACATTTATGGGACAGGAAGTGGACAGAAATCTCTCCAACAGGGACACTAGTTCTGGTGACAACCAGGAATCCTCCTCACTGTGGTGGGATTGGCTGAGACAGGAAGTGAAGAATTCTCCACACAAGGGACACTAGTTCAGGTGAAACCCCAGAATTCCCTCGTTAGAAGGGATTTCCTCTCACTTCCTGTTACATTTATGGGACAGGAAATGTAGTGAACTCTCCTCATAGGGGACACTAGTTCTGGTGACAACCAGGAATCCCCTCACTTTGATGGAATTGGCTATGGGACAGGAAGTGAGAGGAATTCTCCCCATAGGGGACACTTTGTTCAGGTAAAACCCCAGAATTCCCTCTTTAAAAGGATTTCCTCCTCACTTCCTGTTACATTTATGGGACAGGAAGCGGAGTGAAATCTCTCCAATGGGGACACCAGTTCTGGTGACAACCAGGTATCCCCTCACTATGGTGGCATTGGCTATGGGACAGGAAGTGAGAGGAATTCTCCCCATAGGGGACACTAGTTCAGTTCAAACCCCAGAAATTCCGTGTTTAAAAAGGGATTTCCTCTCACTTCCTGTTGCGTTTATGGGACAGGAAGTGGAGGAGTGAAATCTCTGCGATGGGGACCTTGGGCACGATTGTGACCAGCCAGCTCAGCTCCTCCAATGATGGGCGGAGCTCCGTTGAAATTGGAAGTTTTTCTTTATTCTTATATAAAAAGGAAATGTTTGATACAAATATATACATTTATACATTGTAAATAATACAAAACAGGAAAATACAAACAGTGAGGTCTGTACAAGGCCAGCCGGGGAGATCAGGATGGAGCGCCCCCTACAGTCTGCACCAGGAAAAACAAACTTTTCCTTGCTCTGCTCCTGCACCAGCAGTCCCAGCGGGGGAGGGAACATTGTCAGACCTGAACCGGCAGTTCTCCTTCTGGGGGGGGGTCATGTGACGCCGGCAGTGGGTCAGGGTTATCCTTCTGGGGGGGGTCATGTGACACCGGCAGTGGGTCAGGGTTATCCTTCTGGGGGGGTCATGGTACATGTGACACCAGCAGTGGGTCAGGGTTATCCTTCTGGGGGGGGGGGGGTAGGGGGGGGGGGGGTCATGTGACGCCAGCAGTGAGTCAGAGGTCAGGCGTTCTCCTTCTGGGGGGGGGTCATGTGACGCCGGCAGTGGGTCAGGGTTATCCTTCTGGGGGGGGGGGTGTCATGTGACACCGGCAGCAGTGTGACAGGGTTATCCTTCTGGCATGTGGGGCAGTGAGGTCAGGGTTTCTCCTTCTGGGGGGGGGGTCATGTGACGCCGGCAGTGGGTCAGGGTTGGATCCTCTGGGGGGGGGGGGGGCCGGGGGGGGTTTCCCTCCTTTCTGGGGGGGGGGGGGGTCATGTGACGCCAGCAGTGAGTCAGGGTTCTCCCTTCGGGGGGGGGGGGGGGTCATGTGACGCCGGCAGTGGGTCAGGGTTCTCCTTCTGGGGGGGGGGGGGGGGGTCATGTGACGCCAGCAGTGAGTCAGGGGCTCTCCTTCTGGGGGGGGGGTCATGTGATGCCGCAGTGGGTCAGGGTTCTCCTTCTGGGGGGGTCATGTGATGCCGGCAGTGGGTCAGAGTTTCTCCTTCTGGGGGGGGGCTCATGTGATGCCGGCAGTGGGTCAGAGTTCTCCTCTTGGGGGGGTCATGTGATGCCGGCAGTGGGTCAGAGTTCTCCTTCTGGGGGGGTCATGTGATGCCGGCAGTGGGTCAGAGTTCTCCTTCTGGGGGGGTCATGTGATGCCGGCAGTGGGTCAGAGTTCTCCTTCTGGGGGGGGGGTCATGTGACGCCAGCAGTGGGTCAGGGGGTTCTCCTTCTGGGGGGGGGGGGTCATGTGATGCCGGCAGTGGGTCAGGGTTTCTCCTTCTGAGGTGGGGGGGGGGGGGGGGGGTCATGTGATAATGGCAGTGGGTCAGGGTTCTCCTCCTGGGGGGGGGGGGGGGGTCATGTGACGGCATTCACGGTTTATTTCTGGAGCCTGCTCCTTTAAACCCCGCCAGCAATGAAGTCATGGAGGTGGGGAGCGGCTTCCCTGCGCAGATTCGAGGGGGTGGGGCTCTGAAGCTGGAGTCACACCCAAGACTGGCTCCGCCCACCCTTAGCTTTTGGTCATGTGACTGAATGCCATAAGATGGCAACACAGCAGAAGTGCTTCTAGGTTTAGGTTGGGGGGTGCGGATGGAGGGGGGGGGGGCGGGGGGCGCTATAGGACAGGAAGTAGTGGGAAATTTCCATATTGGGGACACGGGGAAAGATCAGGATTTCTGACAAAGTTTTTACAGCAGCCTGCGACTGTCCCAGTGACACCCACTCACCCCACTTCCTGCATGGAGGACAGCTGCCGCCACTCCATTTGCTGTATGGGTGACAACCTCTACTCCCCATTTCCTGCACGCACGGCCAATGCTCCTTCCTTTTCCTGTATGAGTGACAACAACCCCCCCCCCCCCTTTTCCTGTACAGGTGACAACTGCTTCCCCCATTTCCTGTACAACCCTCATTTCCTGTAGAGGTGACAACTGCTTCCCCCATTTCCTGTACAACCCTCATTTCCTGTACAGGTGACAACTGCTTTCCCCCATTTCCTGTACAAGGATCTCCTTTCCTGTACAGGTGACAACTGCTTTCCCCCATTTCCTGTACAACCCTCTCATTTCCTGTACAGGTGACAACTGCTTTCCCCATTTCCTGTACAAGGGTCTCATTTCCTGTACAGGTGACAACTGCTTTCCCCATTTCCTGTACAAGGGTCTCATTTCCTGTACAGGTGACAACTGCTTTCCCCATTTCCTGTACAAGGGTCTCATTTCCTGTACAGGTGACAACTGTTTTCCCCTTCCCCATTTCCTGTACAGGTGACAACTGCTCAGCATACTTCCTGTACAGGAAACAACCACTCCCCCCCATTTCCTGTACAAGTGACAATCACTTCCCCCATTTCCTGTACAGGTGACAACGGCTCAGCCTACTTCCTGTACAGGAAACAGCCACTCCACCCTATTTCCTGTACAGGTGGCAACTTCTCCCCTCATTTCCTATCCTGGCAACAACTGCAACCACCCAACCCCTACACAGGTGCCGACCCCTCCCCCCTTTTCCCATACAAGTGACAACTCCCCCCCCCCCCCCCGCCCCATTTCCTGAGAAACACTCGCCCAATTCCTGCATGGGTGTCACAGGGACAGGAAGCAGGACAGAATCTCCCCAGTGTGGTCACAAATGTAAAAGCTGACAGAATTGCCCCCCCCCCCCCCCCCCCCCCCCCCCGCCCCCCCTTTCCCCCGTAAAAACTGAAAATGTTTTCGGCTGGATTTTGGCGCTCTCCCTCGATCGCTCTTCTTCCCGCCCCCGATCGCTCTTCTTCCCGCACCCGGAAGTAATAAAATAGAATTTTTATAAATCCAGTAAATAGAATCTTCTCTTCTTTCGCATTAGAAAACTATTTACAACATTTTACAGGTTGTGTTTCAAGTTCGGCTGCAGGATCCCCGCGGTGGGCGGAGCCAAGTGCTAAGGGGGCGGTCCTCTGGTCCCTGCGGCAGTGCTGGTCATAGGACACCTCTGAATCAGGGACCTTCATCGTCCATCCATCTGGCTCCGCCCACAACGGTCGTTTTAGGGCACCGGATGGATCGCTGTGAGTGGCTGACGCGGCGGAGGGGGTGGGGTCGGCCGTCACTGCAGGCGATCGGAGCGGAAGGAGTCCTCCACCAGCGGGTCGGTCAGCGGGGCGTACGGGGTTCGGTCGCTCAGCATGTTCAGTCCGTCCAGCGTGAGCGGCTCGATGTTCAGGTCGTCCTCCAGTCCCAGCGAGGGGTCCACTTCGAAGCCGGGGACCGAGGACAGCGCCGAGGTGATCTCCTTGGAGAAGCCCGGGGGAGGGGAGTCCACTGCTGGGAGGGGCAAAAAAAAAAAACACGGATTACTTACATCCCCTCATTAACCAATCAGAATTCAATCTCAGTCACAATCAGCAAACACTGTGATGGGGGGATGCCTAAGGAATGCTTTAGATGAGGGGGGGTGGGACATTGGGGGAGGGGCGGCACAATGTGCGGGATGGGATCCCACGTACTGGAACACAATGGCGGGGATCAGGATATGTACCGGGGGGGGGGGCGTGTACCGGGGGGGGGGGGGGGGGCGTACGTACCGGTGAGGACGATATCGGGGATGGTCGGGGGCGGGGCGTACGTACCGGTGAGGACGATATCGGGGGATGGTCGGGGGCGGGGCGTACGTACCGTTGAGGACGATATCGGGGATGTGGATGGTCGGGGGCGGGGCGTACGTACCGTTGAGGACGATATCGGGGATGGTCGGGGGCGGGGCGTACGTACCGGTGAGGACGATATCGGGGGACGATGGTCGGGGGCGGGGCGTACGTACCGGTGAGGACGATATCGGGGATGGTCGGGGGCGGGGCGTACGTACCGTTGAGGACGATATCGGGGATGGTCGGGGGGGGCGGGGCGTACGTACCGTTGAGGACGATATCGGGGATGGTCGGGGGCGGGGCGTACGTACCGTTGAGGACGATATCGGGGATGGTCGTACGGGGGGTCGGGGGGGGGCGTACGTACCGGTGAGGACGATATCGGGGATGGTCGGGGGGGGTGGGGCGTACGTACCGGTGAGGACGATATCGGGGATGGTCGGGGGGGGGGCGTACGTACCAGTGAGGATGATATCGGGGATGGTCGGGGGTGGGGCGTACGTACCAGTGAGGATGATATTGGGGATGGTTGGGATGATATGGTCGGGGGCGGGGCGTACGTACCAGTGAGGATGATATCGGGGTATGGGCGGGGGTGGGGGCGTATTGGGATGGTTGGGAATCGTCGGGGGCGGGGGCGTACGTACCAGTGAGGATGATATCGGGGATGGTCGGGGGTGAGGCGTACGTACCGTGAGGATGGTCGGGGGTGGGGGGGGGGCGTACGTACCGGTGAGGATGGTCGGGGGTGGGGCGTACGTACCGGTGAGGATGGGGATCGGGGGTGGGGCGTACGTACCAGTGAGGATGATATCGGGGGTGGGGGGGGCGTACCAGTACCGGTGAGGATATCGGGGAATGGGCGGGGGCGGGGCGTATTGTGGGATGATATCGTCGGGGGGGGGGGCGTACGTACCAGTGAGGATGGTCGGGGGTGGGGGGGGGCGTACGTACCAGTGAGGATGATATCGGGGATGGGCGGGGGGGTACGGGGCGTACGTACCAGTGAGGATGATATCGGGGATGGGCGGGGGTGGGGCGTACGTACCAGTGAGGATGATATCGGGGATGGTCGGGGGCGGGGCGTACGTACCAGTGAGGATGATATCGGGGATGGGCGGGGGTGGGGCGTACGTACCAGTGAGGATGATATCGGGGGATATGGATGGCGGGGGTGGGCGTACGTACCAGTGAGGATGATATCGGGGGATGGGCGGGGGCGGGGCGTACGTACCAGTGAGGATGATATTGGGGATGGGGTCGTGCCGGAAGCAGTTGCCGCTGTTCTGTTTCTTGAAGGGGGAGGAGCTGAAGGCCCCGCCCCCGCTGTTCACGTGCGGATAGTCCCCGGTCAGGCTCAGCCGCCCATTCTCCATGTTACATTGATCAAACTGAACACAGAAAACGTGAGAGTTTACAGAGCGCCCATCCTCCCCTCCCCCCAGCCCCGCCCATCCAGCCTGACCCCCCCGGCCTTCCCCTCCCCCATCACCTTCCTGTCCTCTGACCACACTCCAGCTTTGGGAGACCTTCCTCGTAGGATGCACTGGTCATGACTTGGCAGCCAATTGTAGGCCTCGGTGTGGTCACCTGACTGGGGGGAGGAGGAAGTCAGCCCTGTGTAAGCTTCCAAAGCCACCTGACAAGGAGCTTACAGGGTGCTAGGACTCCCAGCTCCACCGGGGGAGCACTGGGCAGGGGATATGGCCCAGCAGAGGTAGGAAAGGGGAGCACAACATGCAACTCTTTTGTTGGGTCCTCTTGAGCCTTGTATGTATCTCCCATTAGTAATCTTTCCCCTCCCCTCCCCTCCTTCAATGGGGGGGGGGACATCCGAATGCCTGCCGTACCTGCTGGGACAACGCTCCGGTCCTCTGGGTGGGAAGCTGGAGATCAAACTCCTCAAACAGGCTGCTGAGCAAAGACTGCGGAGACAGAAGAGAACAAGATGGCCGCCATCAAGACACGGAACGGGGCCACAGATGGCAAAATCTGACCAACGTTAATCTGTCAACACCCCCTCCCCCCCCCCCCCCCCAGATACTCACATTACCCAGCTGGGAGTCCCCCAGGAAGGGCTGGTACTGGAGGCCACCACAACTCTGCTGGTAAGAGAAGTTCTGAATGTCGGACTGGAGCCCAGGAAGGTCCTTGTAGGAGGTCTGCTGCAAAGTCTTCTGGGAAGTGTCTATGGTGGGCTGTTGGTTCAAGGACTGCTTGGACTGTTGGGTCATAGACGGGTGTGTGTGGTTCAGAGGATTCTGGGACTGATGGTAAGACATCTGGGAATGTGGCATCAGCTGTGAGGACTGGTGCAAGTGCTGCTGGGAGTTGGCCATTCCTTGGGGGGACTGGTGCAAGTGCTGCTGGGAGTTGGCCATTCCTTGGGGGGACTGGTGCAAGTGCTGCTGGGAGTTGGCCATTCCTTGGGGGGACTGGTGCAAGTGCTGCTGGGAGTTGGCCATTCCTTGGGGGGACTGGTGCAAGTGCTGCTGGGAGTTGGCCATTCCTTGGGGGGACTGGTGCAAGTGCTGGGGAGTTGGCCATTCCTTGGGGGGACTGGTGCAAGTGCTGCTGGGAGTTGGCCATTCCTTGGGGGGACTGGTGCAAGTGCTGCTGGGAGTTGGCCATTCCTTGGGGGGACTGGTGCAAGTGCTGCTGGGAGTTGGCCATTCCTTGGGGGGGGACTGGTGCAAGTGCTGCTGGGAGTTGGCCATTCCTTGGGGGGACTGGTGCAAGTGCTGCTGGGAGTTGGCCATTCCTTGGGGGGGGACTGGTGCAAGTGCTGCTGGGAGTTGGCCATTCCTTGGGGGGACTGGTGCAAGTGCTGCTGGGAGTTGGCCATTCCCTGGGGGGGACTGGTGCAAGTGCTGCTGGGAGTTGGCCATTCCTTGGGGGGACTGGTGCAAGTGCTGCTGGGAGTTGGCCATTCCCTGGGGGGGCTGGTGCAAGTGCTGCTGGGAGTTGACCATTCCCTGGGGGGGCTTGAAAGTGCTGCTGGGGGGGCCATTTCATGGGAGGGCTGGTGCAAGTGCTGCTGGGAGGTGGCCATTCCCTGGGGGGGCTGGTGCAAGTGCTGCTGGGAGTTGGCCATTCCTTGGGGGGACTGGTGCAAGTGCTGCTGGGAGTTGGCCATTCCTTGGGGGGGCTGGTGCAAGTGCTGCTGGGAGGTGGCCATTCCTTGAGGGAACGGGTGGGAGTTAGCCATTGGCTGAGGGGACTGGTGCAAAGGCTGCTGGGGGCTGAGACATCGGCTGGTTGGGTTGGTGCAGCAGGTTGGGGTGACTGAAGTGGTACGGTGGCAGCCTCTGGTCGGTGGACATCTTGCTGGTGTCCCAGAGGAACTCCCTGGGGGGGGGGGAAACAAAACAAGACATTAAGAAGAACTCTGCATTTTCCTTTAAATTTGAACATGGCCCCTCCCTTCTCAAGATTCCCCATTGGTCCTTAAAGGTGAAAGATCACCAGGAGGTGACCAATCACTGTTGAACCCGGGGAGCTCCTAGCACCTGGTCATGTCATGATCTGTAGAGGTTTGCAGCTAACATTTCTCCTCTGGTTGTAGCTCCACCCCAGGCTGGAGCCCAATTTACGGAGGAGTTACAGCCGATACTAAAGCCACCTCCCCCTTCTTCATGCTGCAGCCCTGCCCCTCCCCTTCCACCTTCCTGGTTCTGAAAATGCTTCACTGTACTGAAAGAAAAGACTGAGCCCAGCCAGTGAGACGGGTGCAACGTCGCGCCTTCCCTCTCCCCCCGGGGGGGGGGGGGCGACGTCGCGCCTCCCCTCTCCCCCCGGGGGGGGCGACGTCGCGCCTCCCCTCTCCCCCCGGGGGGGGCGACGTCGCGCCTCCCCTCTCCCCCGGGGGGGCGACGTCGCGTCTCCCCTCTCCCCCCGGGGGGGGAATCGACGTCACATCCCCTCCCCCTCAGCTCAGTTTGAACTTCTGGGGTTTACAGCTTTTTCAGAACTTGTTTAGGGCATTGGGCCATCCTGAAAGGCATGAGATGGAAGTCTCCAGACCCAGAGCTCACCATTGGTCAGTGAAGCTGAACCTCACATCAAGATGCCAATGGTGAAGTGGGGGAGGAGGGAATGGGAGGGGACTTTGCATTATAGAGGGGGGAGGAGGGGACTTTGCATTATAGAGGGGGGAGGAGGGGGGACTTTGCATTATAGAGGGGGGAGGAGGGGACTTTGCATTATAGAGGGGGGAGGGGAGGGAATGGGAGGGGACTTTGCATTATAGAGGGGGGGAGGAGGGAATGGGAGGGGACTTTGCATTATAGAGGGGGGAGGAGGGAATGGGAGGGGACTTTGTATTATAGAGGGGGGGGGGGAGGGGGGGACTTTGTATTATAGAGGGGGGAGGAGGGAATGGGAGGGGACTTTGTATTATAGAGGGGGGAGGAGGGAATGGGAGGGGACTTTGTATTATAGAGGGGGGAGGAGGGAATGGGAGGGGACTTTGTATTATAGAGGGGGGAGGAGGGAATGGGAGGGGACTTTGTATTATATAGAGGGGGGAGGAGGGAATGGGAGGGGACTTTGTATTATAGAGGGGGGAGGAGGGAATGGGAGGGACTTTGTATTATAGAGGGGGGAGGAGGGAATGGGAGGGGACTTTGCATTATAGAGGGGGGAGGAGGGAATGGGAGGGGACTTTATTATAGAGGGGGGAGGAGGGAATGGGAGGGGACTTTGTATTATAGAGGGGGGAGGAGGGAATGGGAGGGGACTTTGCATTATAGAGGGGGGGGAGGGAATGGGAGGGGACTTTGCATTATAGAGGGGGGGGGGAGGGAATGGGAGGGGACTTTGTATTATAGAGGGGGGAGGAGGGAATGGGAGGGGACTTTGTATTATAGAGGGGGGAGGAGGGAATGGGAGGGGACTTTGTATTATAGAGGGGGGAGGAGGGAATGGGAGGGGACTTTGTATTATAGAGGGGGGAGGAGGGAATGGGAGGGGACTTTGTATTATAGAGGGAGGAGGAGGGAATGGGAGGGGACTTTGTATTATAGAGGGAGGAGGAGGGAATGGGAGGGGACTTTGTATTATAGAGGGGAGGGAGGGGAGGGAGGGAATGGGAGGGGACTTTGTATTATAGAGGGGGGAGGAGGAGGGAATGGGAGGGGGACTTTGTATTATAGAGGGAGGAGGGAATGGGAGGGGACTTTGTATTATAGAGGGGAGGAGGGAATGGGAGGGGACTTTGTATTATAGAGGGGGGAGGGGACTTTGTATTATAGAGGGAGGAGGAGGGAATGGGAGGGGACTTTGTATTATAGAGGGGGGAGGGAATGGGGAGGGGACTTTGTATTATAGAGGGAGGAGGAGGGAATGGGAGGGGACTTTGTATTATAGAGGGGAGGAGGGAATGGGAGGGGGACTTTGTATTATAGAGGGGGGAGGAGGGGTCGGGTCCCTCGCAGACTTTGGAGGATACAAGCTGGAAGCCCCCCCGAAGCTCACTGGTCATTGATAGGCCAATAGCAGTGGGAGGGAGGCGGGACTGGGCAGGTCCTGAGTGAACGACCTCAGAAAACGGAAAAGAAATGATCTGCCGCCTTACCTGAGTGATGGAGGTCAGTGTGGGGGACATGGTGGGGGAGAACTGCTTCTGGTGCGACCTCCTTCCATCCCCGGCCATAGGCAGCGTCAGGGGGCTGAGCGGCACCCGGCGGTGGGGGGAGGTGTTCAGTGAAGCGGGTGCCATAGGTGGAAACGAAGAGGAGGAGGAGGATGGCGAGGAAGGTGTGCTGTAGGCCGAGGTCAGGCTGTGGCTGCTGGTGGGTCGGGGACAGCGAGTGATTGCTGAGAGAAGACGGCAGTGATTGGCTGCTGAGTGACGACTGCAGGGACGGGTTGCTGAATGACGTCTGTAAGGAGGGGTTCCGCAGGGAGGCCTGGAGGTTGGGGTTACTCAGCGAGGACTGCAGGGACTGGCGGCTCAGGCTGGAATGGAGGTCAGATGAGAAGCCTGAGAAGACGGAGAGAAACAGGAGACATTATACAAGTCCGAGACCCCCCACCTTCCCGAAGAGGGCCCCCCAACATGGCGCCCAGGGCCAATCGTTCCGGTCAGGGACGGATTACGGGGACTGATTGGAATTTAGACCACTCCCCCCCGCTCTGGAGGGCTTAGACCGCTCACACCCCCCCACACTCCCCCTCACCTCCCGAGTTGCGACAGA